GGACCGGCCCCGTTACGACACCAAAGGTTGTCCCCGTTCCCGTGGCAGTTGTAGAGCACGAAGAGAGCTTCGATATGACGGATGATGGGCCCCGTTACGACACCGAAAGATATCGCCGTTCCCGAGGCGGTTGTAGAGCGCGAACAGAGATTAGATCCATCCGTTGATGGGCGCCGTTACACACCAAAAGTTTTAAGCGTTCCTTTGGCCATTGCAGATTGTGAAGAGAGATTCGATCTAACGGCTAATGGGGCCCGTTCTCTTTTTTATCATAAGGATTGTAAAACCTTATTTTTAATTTAAAGATTAGGTTTATTAAATCTTGATTACCTTACCTTTTATTGGCAAAGTCTGAAATTGATATACTTTCATGAGATTATACTTCGAGTTCTTCAAAAAATTGTTTTAACAGTTATGTATTGTTTTTTTTCTTCTAAGAAAATAGTTTAAAGCTTCTATTTAGAACTAAAATTAAGTTTAGCCTCATTCTAGAACTAAAACTGAGTTTAACCTCAAATTCTCAATCTAAATTTTGGCAAAATTCCGCCTTATTTTTTGATGTTTCCCGAGCCAACTTTAGCTCACTTTTTATCCATTGTTTTTCACCTTAAAACACAAACCATATCCTTTCTCTTTTTTCTCTCATCTGTTGTTGGATTGTGTTGAAAACTCATAATATAATCATGTGGGATTCACATGATCACACGATTAGAATGGTATTAATCAGAAGATGCTACCTTGCTTCGTATAAGAATATGATTATATTGTTATATAATTGTGATAACATCAATCATAATCAGCTTACCAAAAATATATATATGAAAATACACACTTTTTTTCTTTTCACTTTCTTGTTCCTTTTCAAAGCTGGCAAGATATTTTTGCATTCTTTTATGTATTTTTCATTTTTCTGATAATTATTGATGGTGAACTTGAAAAGGAATATTTAGTACCTATAATTCCCAAGTGTTCTTTTCAAGTACTGGTGTCTGGTAAGCCTGAGAAGGAACCTTTGGACCTATTATTCGTAGGTTAATTTTATCTAAATCGCACACTATTGAGGTAGATTTTGTGCAATCTGAAAAATACGCGGGGTGAATTTTGTTTGATTTGGAAAAACATAAAAACTGATTTTCCATTTTTTTTTTTAAAAAACGTGGTATTTTTTATAATATGATTAAATACAAAGAACATTTTTACAATTATACCAAATTACAATGATGTGGCTTACCTCGTTTTAACAACTTCTCTTCAGGCTAAAGCAAGAGGTGTTTAAAACTTTGAATACAGTTTCACTAGATTGCCAATTTCCACGGGAACCCAATTAGGCAATCACCTCCAAAAATAGGTTAGGTAAACAAATTTTATGTTACGGTGAGTTCCAACTTTCCAAGTTAGTCCCTTGAACCCAAAATTTGGTAGATTTAATATTATTAATTAAATACAAGGGAGATTTATGAGCTCGTTTAGTTTATTGATTCGAGTCGAGATGTGATTTTATGTGAGAGCGTTTTATTGTAGTAAAAAAATTAGATGTGACTGTTTCTGAGAGTTTTTAACTGTAACAAAACTCGAATTTTAAACTCGAATCGGTAAAATGAACGGTACCTAATTACACAAACTTTAATGACGTGGCTTATCTCATTTGAACAGTTTTTCGTTACAACCAAGAGGTGTTTGAAACTTTGAATACACCTTCACTAGATGTCCATGTGAACCAAATTAGGCAATCACCTCAAAAAATAGGTGAGGCAAGCAAATTTTATGTTATGATCTTCTGACCTTGTAACAGATTTTGATGATTATGAAAAGTTAGCTATCATCACCCAAACATTAGTTACTCCTAGTTGGGCTATGCAATTTGCAAAGGTTAATAATAATTGAATAAACAGTTTTATAAGTAATATTTTGGCCGCCAATTCATATGTAACAATAAATTTTTTAATTTTCAGTTGGTCAAATTTTGATGATAAGAACTAAATATAAAATGGACCTCATTAATTGCCACATGAAAAATAAGCTCCCACAACAATATTTGGTCAGCCATTCATATATATTATTATTCTAATAATTATTTGAAATTGTGCATCTTCAAAATAAAAAAATGGGTCTAACATCCCTCATCAATCCTAGTGGTTGGTGTATGGGTATTCTTGTACTGTAGGTCAGTTTAACATTATTGTGTTGTTAAAAAATTTTATTATTTTTATATTGTTAGTAATAAGTTGTTGTGACAAAAAACATATAGGTGTTTAGTAAATATTTTTACAAAACTATTGTGAATACTAGAAGCAAAAATTTAAGTGTTTGGTAAATTGTGTATAAAATTATTGTGATGATGTGTAATGACGAAAGTAGACATACTTTAATAAATATTTATAGTTAATTTTATTTCTATTTTTATGGTAAATATTCAAAATATAAAAGTATAATTTTAATTTATTAATTAAAATATTTCTTAAAAATAAATTATTTTTACTGATTGGAAAAACTATTCATCTACTAATTATTTATTTATTTATTGTTATTATTTTAAGTATTTTGATAATTATTAAAAATATTTGAATAAAATTTAGCATACTCTTGTTAAAGAGTTTCAATTGTAAATAACTATTTAAAAAAAATATGTTTTTTTTAATTTGATATGAAAAAAGTAAAATAAGTAGATTGATAATTAAGTTTTATTATTAAAGTTATCTTCGTAAATTTAGATAATGACAGTAAAAGTTGTGTACAAAAATGACTTTTAAGTTGCTTCTCAAATTCTACTGTTTGACAACTATTTTTAAAAACTGCTGGACAAAAGCATAATTTACCAAATACCTAACTTGTTGGAGATTCTTTTAAAGCAGCCTCTAAAATCAATACCAAACAAGCCATATAAATATATATAACTACACTAATTGTAAATGGATAGTTTTTTATAGAACAAGCTATTTTACTCTACCAATAAAGCAAGTGTATTTATCGTTAGATTAATTTTTCAACCGTCAGATCTATAACATGAATATTTTTGTGTAGTGTGTTGTATATTTTTTATACAGATATGTACATATCTTACCGTTAAAAAGTAATCTAACGGTTAAAAATACTTATCATATTATGGAGCAAAATGTAAAGATTCCTTTACCAATTATCTTTTTGTTTTATATAATTTTTTTAGTACGGTAATATATCAATAAATTAAATTTTTTATCTATTAAATCTACATAAAATTATATAAAAGATTAAAAAATACATAAATTTAATAACTAAAAAAAGAACTTACCGATACGTCAAAGCTATCAAAATCTCCCTAGTTGTATTAAGGGCTTTGGAATAAACACGATGGAATATGCCAACAACTAATACATGGGTTTGGAGAGACGGTAGGTCCCACTTTGGATCGGATAAGTCCGTCCATAAACAGTACGAGGCTCATATGTCTTTTGCCATAGTTTATGCCAGCTAGTGGCTACCAATCCGTAGTCGGTCTGATTTTAATCTCAATTAGTGGTCCCCACCTTGACAACTTATTAGGATAAACCTTGCTATCACTTCTAATTATTTATTATTTTTTATGAGACGAATTATTTAGTGAGAGTTTAGTTTATATATTCAGAATTATAATTTAAAATTATTTTTATTTTATATATATTTTTTATAAATAAAAATATTATAAAAAATTATAAATCATAATTTATAATTAAATATGAATATAAAAAATAAACGTCATCAATTTGTTAATCATTCCTATGATTAAAAATATATATAAATTATTGACTCACTTTAATGTTTAGAACAAAATTCATGCCAATATCTAAAACATTGAATCGAATAATTTATTAATTATATCACTTCTTAAAAAATTTAATTTTGTATATACTTGTGTGTTGTCAATTAAAAGGAAACAATTCATCTTCTCGTTGTATTTGTCTGACCGAAACACCTATATCATGTGTTACAAAAACTGCATTGACTGACTCGTTAGTCGTTTGTTGGCTACTGAAATGCAACTTTCTTTTAAGGAGAGAGAGAGAGAAACAATTTTACCGTCCTGTTAGTTAATAAATAAACCAGTTTTTTCCAATATTCTTCAATAGAAAACAAAATTTAATGAATTACCTAATTTGCAGGAAATGGTTTAGTTCTGAACCATTTCCTCATGAGTTGAAAACCAACTCTATTTGTATATTGGCAAAACCTTTCTTCTCAACAAAAAGGAAAACAAATAAACAATTTAACTGTTATGTTAGCTAACTTTAATGAATAAACAAATTGTTTCCACTATTCTTCTAGAGAGGACAAAAATATATGAATTACTCTATTTATAGTTTAATAAATATTTGTGAGCCATTTCCTTACGCGTTGAAAATTAACAAATAAACAAACTCTACATGAATTTCGTCAATGTTTTTGTCTTTTCAACAAAAGGAAAACAATTTAACTGTCTCGTTGGGTAACTTTAATAAACCATTAAGGGCTCGTTCATCGCTGATTTGAGTTTTACTTTATGAGTTTAAAAATTTATGGTGAATATTACAGAATCATTTCCTCGTGAGTTTGAAAATTAACAAAATTATTATCCGTTAGAAATTAAAATCTTTAAGATAATATTTAATTTATAAATTTAAAATTTATATTTTTTATAAAAATAATAATATTATAAAAAATTATGAATTATAATTCAAAATAAAAAATAGATTCATAAAACAAACATCTCTTTAAATTAAGAAAACGGTGGGATATTCGAGTATATCCAAAACTAATGATGAATAGCCGAATTATTGCACTGTGACGTGGAGCCGAGCTGTCCTATCCACTTACCCCAACAACTCGACAATCTCACACTTACCTGAAATGCAGCCTGCCACGTCATCACGTGTACAGATACCATGATGTTCGCGGCGTCTCGGAAACTCACCCTCCCTCTGTGGGTCCCATATTTGAGAGTCCCCAAATATCCCCGTACTATAAATTCCCTCACATTCTACCAATCCAATTGAAAAACCCACGTCACGTGCTCTCTCTCTCTCTCTCTCTCTCTCTCTCTACATTTTGCAGAGACAACGGAAAAAAAAAGTCCATCCATGGTTGAAATACGCGGCGTAGCGGCGACGAGCCTCGACGACATGGTTTTCGAATATCTAGAATACGGCGAGGAGTCGTCGCCGGAGAGTAGGTTCATCTCCGGCGACGATTGCTACGACGACGACGGAGAGGAGGAGCGGAGTAGTTTCGATGTCGAAGAGAGCAAGGCGTTTTGGGATGAGCAAAAGAAACTCCTCCAGGTGATTATTAATCGAGCAAAATATGAAACTCCGATGAAAGATTTTTTTTTTCTTTTTTGTTTTTGTGATTTTCTAATGGAGATTAGATTTTCTTCCTTTTTTCACAGGGATTATTGTACAGAACGAATTCGATCGAATCGAAGATTCGACAAGCAACGAAGGAGGTCTTGAAGGACGCGAAAAATTCCCAATGCGGATGCGCGAGATTCGCGGCGGCGGTGGCGGGCGGCGGTTGCTGGAGCTGCTTGCGGAGAGAGGTTTGCAATCGGCTGATCAATCTCGGCTACGATTGCGCGATCTGCAAGTCAAAGTGGCGGAGCTCGTCTAGTATTCCGTCAGGTAAATTCAAAACTTGAGAAAATTCGCTCACAAATTCAATTTCCGAAATCAGAAATAGGCGAAGAACGGACAATTGAATTTTTTTTCTTTTCTTTTTTTTTTTTTCAGGGGAACACAGTTATCTGGAGGTTGTGGATCGATCGAGTGCGAAGAGAGGGGAAACGAGAGTCGTGATCGAGCTGAACTTCCGAGCGGAGTTTGAGATGTCTAGGGCAAGCGAGGAGTACAACTTGTTGATCGGACAATTGCCGGAGGTTTTCGTCGGAAAAGCGGAGAGACTGAGAGGGATGATAAAGATCCTGTGCTCGGCGGCGAAGAAGTGCATGAAGGAGAAGAACATGCACTTAGGGCCGTGGAGAAAGCACAAGTACATGCAGGCCAAGTGGCTCGGCAGGTGCGACAGGTCGGCGGCGGCGCCGTTACCAGTCGGGAACTCTGGTCGGACGGCGAAGTCAAAGGCCTCCATGTTGACCTTTGATCTCTTGGAGGCTATGCCCATCCCTGGTCTGCGTCGCACCGCTGTTGAAGTTAGTGTGATTTAATTATTGAGAAATATTGAAGAAAGAGAAATTTTGCCCACTTTTGGTTTTTTTTTTTTTTTTTTTTTTTTTTTCTTTAAATTTTCCCCCTTTTTGTTTTTTTTTTTTTTTTTTTTTTTTTTTCTCTTCATTTTTCCTTCTATTTTTTCATGTTAGTCTTCTTGTCTAAGTTGTAAAAATATGGGGCCTTCTTCTTTAGTGAAATTGGCGATTAGAGGTATTAATGGAAATACGGGTTATTGAGTTTGGTTTTAAGATTTGGATAGAGAATTATTACAAGGCCAAGTGAATTAACAAAATTTGCAACAACAAAAAAAAAAAACAACAACAACAATAATAATAATAATAATAATAATAATAATAACTACTAAAGAACAAATAATAATAATAATAATAACTACTACTAAAGAACTTTTAAAATAACATCCCGGATTCAAAACAAAGGTTCATATATTGTTTCAAAAAAAAACAAAGGTTCGAAGATCAAAGAAATACTGCACGACGATAGACACAACTGAAATGTTAGAAGTTCGTATGACCACCCACAAAAATTTTTACCTTTTTTTTTACCGTGATTAAATTCAGTAACAGAATGTAAAGATTACTAAAATTGAGAGTCAACAGACTCAATACAGTGCTAGCGGTTAGACTATTATTAATATTAATTGTATATTTATTATAAAAAAGTATGATATAATATATTATTTTTATTTTTATTTTGATATAAAATATAATTTAAAATGTTAAATTTATTTTTTCTTATAATTATTAAGTTTTGTAAAAGTTTTTTTAAAAAAATGTAAAAATAAATTTTTATATTTAAAATAATTAGAAAAATATAAGTTGTAATGGTTATATGAAAAAGTATATATTTTAATCAATAAGAATTAAATACTAAATTTTTTTTATACTATACTTCGTGAAAAATTTATCATAAAGTATATTATGACCCTGTTCATTTCGCTGATTCGAGTTTAGAATTCGAGTTTTTCTACAGTAAAAAGCTTTCACAAACAATCACATCTAACTTTTTTGCTACAGTAAAAAGCTCTCACATAAAATCACATCTCAACTCGAATCAGCGAAGTGAACGGGACCTATATAAAAAATTTAACACAATAAATAGCATTACATTATAAAATATTTTTTGTACTATAATATTAAATTTATAATTAACACATTAATCATAACATTGTATTAAAAATGCCCTTTTGTATAAGTCTATTAGACTCCTCAAGTCTGCCAACAACAAAAACAAAAACGAGCTAAAAAAAAAAGAAAAACAAAAAAAAAGTGATTACAGCCCGTTCACTTCACCAATTCGAGTTTAGAATTCGAGTTTTACTACAGTAAAAAACTCTCACAAATAATCACATCTAACTTTTTTACTACAATAAAAAACTCACATAAAATCACATCTCAATTCGAATCAACGAAGTGAACGAACCTGTGCGGCTTTTAGAGACTGATACACGAGGTTACGGAGCGCGCTAAACAATTTTGGGCAAAATCAGTGGACCAAGTTGGTTGAGTTTACGAGGGACCCGTGATACAGCAATGAGTAATTTTACTGGACTTCTCGACTCATTATAATGCAGTTTATTTTTGGGCTAAAAAGGAATGCAAGGACTTAAATACACACACACACACACACACACACACATATATATATATATATATATATATATATATATCTTTGAGCAGGATCACAGAATAAATAAACCCAAACAAGAAGACAACTTTCATCTCCATTTTGTTAACTTCATAACAAACTTGGTATACTAGGTAAACTAACAAAACTGGTAACACTCAGTGAACAATAAACCGCCGAGTTGATGAGCTTGAGTAGAAAATAGAGTAAAAAACTAGCAAACTAAAAAACACTGAGAGCCTCCGAAAGAGAAAGGGAATGTGATGGATCAAGTTCCGGCGTTCCTACGACCAACACGAGCAACAAAACCAGCTTTAATCGGGGCAACTGATCGACCGGAACCGCACTGCATGGATATAAACATCAGATTAATAATCTATTTTGGAAGAGAAAAGATACACACAAATGCAAAGCAAAGAAGAAAAATCACAACACACGTATGAGGACTTAATTTCTGAAATGACAATCAATGCATGAGCAAGGCTTTTTTACAGAGGCCTCAGAACTAAGGTTACTCTTATCATAATTAAGACAAATCTGACAATGTAGGCAATACTAGTCATCATTGGCCTCCTCTAGACTATCTCCACAAACTGAAAGAAAATAACTCATTACTCATCTTTCCTTGCTTTCTTTTTTGCTAAACATGTATGAAATATTTGAAACATAAAAAAACAACAAAAAAGGCGTCCCTGAACGCTGGAAAGTGGGGGGCACAACTACTATTTGATAGGAGGACAGGAAATTTACAGCAACCTCAGACCGCCATGCTTTCACATAACGCAAAAATATATTAATGTTATCAGAAAAACCTAAGTCCGTTTTGTGTGTGGTCTGGAAGCAGATGGGAAAAGTAAGACAAGATATTACCTTCTCGCATCTGAGAAAGAAGAGACGATTCTCCTTTGAAAGTATAGTGTCTGGACTTTTGCATCCAAGGCAAATGACATACTCGTCTGAAAGAGGAAGCAGCCATAAGCAAACATTACATACCGTTAGGAAACATAAATATTCAACAGATACAAAAGCACTTCCACTTTCCACATGAAAAGATGGATGTCAAGTTCTCCAATTTTTACCCTTTGCAGAAAAAGAAACATTCCGTTCATGTTAATGTCAAAAGTGCGCTGTAAAATGTATCAAGCCACTACTAACGAGTTACTTACTGATATATCGTCGCAGGATTCCTTCAAAATTCTTGGGTGCAAATCTCCCCTTCACAACTAATCTTTGCTGCCCATCAAGTGATCCATTTGTCCCCAATTCAGCCAACAAGAAAGTCATGACATGATCAGGCTGTCGATGCATCCTATAATTTCCATTCATTTTCACAAGTACATAACATCAGCACATCTTGAAAATCATAAAGGAGGTGCAAATGAAGTCCAGCGAAAAATGGATGAAACAATATAGAACCAGAATATACATAGAACAGTGACAAAATTCAGGAGTAATGCCAACAAGAACCATCAGCCATAAGAAATCATATTTTGTAATAGATAATTATTTGTCAATTTGCCCAAATTACACTAGACATCAAACACCAGATAATCATGGTGAAGAAGTATTTGACAAGTATATATATCATAAACAGTCTAAGCCATAGTTAAGGTAATAAACCTGGCATTGTCCTTCACGTTAATAAGTTGATTATCATTTCTAAGGAAGTCCAAAAGCAGAAACATAATGAGGCAACAATCATAATTTCAGGTAACAAAAACCGAAATACAAACATATTCCCCATTATTGAGGACTAAATATTCATTACTTCGGGCTTCAGAAAATAGGTCTTCTGCAGGTCTTATAGAGAAAACATGCCAACAATGAATTCACAAATTTCCAAGTCCATAAATTAGACAAAAATTGAAAAGCAAGACCCAATATTACAAAGTACTACAATTGCTCTTAACAATCAGCAGATTTTTTAAGGTGTGTGTGTATTAAGAAGTAAATAGCACTCAGTATTTCCTATGACGCTGAAATGCAGAATTCATTAGTATTGATAAGGAAAAGGAACCAGAGCATACGATTTGCAGAGATCCATGAAATTCACAAAGACAGTTTTCTTTGTTCCCTCTCGAAGAACTTGTGGAGGCCTCATAACTGTCCTACGCCTGTCCCCTGCCAGCTCCGGATTATTCTCTCGAAGAATGTTGAACACCCTACCAAGAAGCTGCAGCCATTGCATAAAAAAGATAATTATCAGGAAGCAAAAACCTATGAAGTTTTAAGTAATGAGTTAAGAGGGATAAACAAGATACAAGATACAATGCCAACCCAGGAACCAGTAATCTAAAGTCTAAACACTAGACAGAAAAATACAAAACATTTGGAATGGCATTTACAAGAAGCTAAAAGGACCATTAGAGTCATCAATTGAACATCCATATCAAGCCCCTTTTAGCTTTTGGTCTGCAAACTACAGTTCCAAGACTGTGCTAAAACCAAACTACTCTAGGAACTATAACGCAAAGAAGGTGCGGTCATAAGATTGAAGACATATTTTCAATTCAGCTAAAGTGACCAAACCAAACCTCCTGCCAACCAAACAGATAATGTAAAAGAAGAATTCTGAAGGGAGAAAAAATAACATAAGCCGACTCAGTCTTACTAACAAATGACACAATCTAGTGCAGATAAAAGCATCTTTTATAGCACATTCCACAACATCATATTACAAAATAAAATAAGTCACCAAGCACATTGGCAGTAAAGACGACCAAACCAAAGAATAAGGAGCCCTAGTAAATTAGTGATACTTAAAATAATGATTGTACCTCCTCATATTCATAATCGCGGTCGCTCCCTTCCCAAGGGTAGCGGGGTTGTAGATCAATTCCTTCTCCTTCTTCGTCATCCCCCACCCGATCTGGAAGGCCAAAATACTTGTCTCAGATATTTTACACAGAATTCAACTAACCCTTAATCCATCTATAATTCCACACTTTTCATTGAACAATTATTCTTACAAAACTTTTTTTATTATTATTTTACCTTCCAATTCTTCCCCAGCATCAGCACCCTCATCTGTCAAAATGCTACTCTCGACCTAATCATTAACCATTAAAAAAGAATCCATATAAGGGGCAAAAAAGTATATACCGGGATGGAAAACAATTACTTACTGGCTTCTTCTTCTTCTTCTTCAAGCCAGAAAATGAACTCTCAATCCCCTCAGAAACTGCACAGTAATAAAGATGACCCTTTAAATTGAAGCATATGCTTTTAAAAAAATTCATAAAAATTAAAAGAAACCATCATGGAATATCTTCCTGAATGATTAATGGAGATAACCCTTTGAATTGAAGCATATGCTTTAAAAAAATTCACAAAAATTAAAAGAAAACGTCATGATTATCTTTTAAATATACCTGAAAGGTTTTCAGTTTTCTCAGCCAAACTTTCCACTGACTCATCTGCAGGATCTTGGATAATAACCTTCTTCTTCTTCTTCTTTTTGGTGGGATCAAATGGCGCAATCTGCACCAAAATATATGTATAATATATATATATA